TTGTTTTCTCTTTAAAATATTTTGTAATCGGATCATTTTTCATAAACTGTCCAATTTTTAACTTGAACTGAAATTTTTAATCGGAAATTAGTGATTTTAAGAAAATATGCATCAAGTTGCCAAAATATGCAAAATATGCATTTTTTATTTGGCTTATTTTAATCAAAAAACATTAGATATGCATAGAAAACTTACAATTTTGTTAATATACTTCTTAATAACAAATATGCATTTTGCATATAATCCGAGCCTTATTGATGAGGGCCAATTTAAATTCAAACTATTTTTTTTAGGGGACGAGTTTTTCATTTGCGATTTTAAAGCTCATGCAATTGTGGTGATTGACCCCGATGGGAATTTTCTCCGCAAATTTGGCAATCAACACACGATCATGTTTCCAAATGGCATTGATATTTCCTATTCTGGGGACGTGATAGTCGGTGATTCCCACGGAAATTACTTCCATGTTGTGATTTACTCGGACCGAGGCGATTTCATTGCCGAATATCGATGTCCTTTTGTCAAAGTCAGTGTTTTTTATTTTATTAATTTATGTTTGATTTTGTGGTTTTAGGTTTCTCGCTGTTGTGGGTTAAAAATCACAGCTGAAGGACGTTTAGTAACGGTTGATAAAAATTATCATCATGTTATTGTTTTCGAAAGGTTGTTGGTACCCACAGGATCATTTTCGTGAGATATTTTTATATTATTCATGTATTCATATATTACCTCTTTGTTTGTTGTTCATTTAGGTTTTAATGACGTTTTTTCCAAAAAAAGTTGATATTTAATCGTAGGATAAGTTTGTCTATATTGTTTACAGTTTGTTTCTATTACATATAATTTTTTAGTTATAGGTTTAGTTATGTTACTCTTGTTCGTTCGTTCGTTCTAATAAATTGTTTTTTGCGTTCTTAATCTTGGAATAGTTATGTTGGTAGAAATGGTTGAAAAAAATGGCCTTTTATTTATTCGTTGATCAGTGTTGAGTAAATTTCATGAACGTATGTCGTGAATAGTAACATCAACACTTGTTAAATGTCTAATTTACCAATTTTTGAACACCTCTTTAAAACAATTAAAATTCAGTTCAGTATTAAGAGTTTTATACAGTGTTTTATCTACAATGTGTTGTACATCAAATGTTTTCGAAGTTTTGACATCTGATTAAACAACAAGATATTTTTCTTTACACGTGTTGTGAAAATTCCATGGACGTAAATAATACTGAAAAGAGTTAAAATTCATGATTGAGGTTTTAATATTTCATTAAATAACCTAGGTGTTCGAGATGAACGTTTACAAAATTTTCCGTTACACGTATCACTACTTGTGAAAATTTTTTAAGAACGTATGTCGTGAATAGTAACATCAACACCTGTCATTTATCTGTCAAATCGACCAATTTTTGAACATTTTTCTAGTGTTAAATAATGTCTAAAAACAACTAACATTCAGCACTGAGAACATTTTACAATGTGTTATCTACGTAGTTTGTCTGATATTTCATTAAACAATAATTTTGGTATATCAAATTTATGTCAGTTCAAAAACTGTCAATGTAAATCAGGCTTTATTGTCATTATGATTGACGTTTAAAACTAAAATTAGAAATTTTTCCGAAACCATAATGCCAGCAATACGTGTTTTTATATTAGTTCAAGAAATTATTGTTATTTATTTTTTCTCTAGTAGTAGAAAAAGTCAAAAAAGGTTTGTCAAAAGTACGGTTGAAAAAATTCAGTTAAAATGGCAAAATGAATGAAAGGTATAAAATTGATGTAATCTACCTTTTTATCAAGTGTCTTCTTTGTCATAATATTTTATCTGTAACAATCTATGAAAAACAGTGATAAAATGACGTTTATTTTACTGTCATAATGACTTTTATTTTACTGTCATAATGACGTTTATTTTACTGTCATAATGACGGTTAGTTTACTGTCATAATGACGTTTATTTTACTGTCATAATGACAGTTAGTCTTCTGTCATAATGACGTTTATTTTACTGTCATAATGACGTTTATTTTACTGTCATAATGACGTTTATTTTACTGTCATAATGACGTTTATTTTACTG